TTGAATAGCTGATTTTTCATGTTGGGTCTTATTTTAAAAAAAAAAAAAAAAAAACGTCTTGAAAAAAAAAAAAAAAAAAAAAAAAAAACGAAATTGAAAGGTTCGAACTTGTCTCTCCACTATACATACATCGCACACCTGTATTGAATGCAGTACTATGAGACTGTATATAACAGGCGCTGCATGTTGCAAGAAAATCCTAAAATTGCGTGCGTGCATATGAGAACTGAATAGTAACAGCGTGTATCGCAAGCTGTTTGAATTGCTATAGTAGGTGACAGTAAGATATCTTTTTCTCCTGGTTGTAATAGTCCGTATTAGTTCAAATGCGGAAGATTTTAATGCTTACACTTTTAAAAGAATTACGTTGGAAAATAAGTGATTAAAAATTTTATGAATTAATTGTCGTACCTAGTAATATTCTGCTTAAGATGCTATTGTAATTGCAACCAACTCCCAAAACGAACGAAGGATTGAAACGAATGAATGAATAAATGGATGGATGAATGAATTAATAAAAAATCAAAATTATCAGACGAAAAAAATGGAATGGATAAATAAAATTAGAGATGGAGAAATGGGAGAGTAAGTGAATCGCAAGAATGGATAACAATAAATGGATGGAGAGTAAGTGAATCGCAAGAATGGATAACTTAATGAATAGATGGAGAGTTGGGAGAGTAAGTGAATCGCAAGAATAGATAACTTAATGAATGGATGGAGAGTTGGGAGAGTAAGTGAATCGAAAGAATAGATAAATGTTAATGAATGGATGGAGAGATGGGAGAGTAAGTGAATCGAAAGAATGGATGAATGTTAATGAATGGATGGAGAGATGGGAGAGTAAGTAAATCGAAAGAATGGATAAATATTTATGAATGGATGGAGAGATTAGTGAGTGAATGAAGAAATGGATGAATAAATGAAATATGAATGAATGATCAATGGGCAAATGATACATGTCGATAGCAATAATCGATTGCATTGAGTAATTCTATATCCACTGTATGCAGCTATAATTTGAAAAACGAATCTGCATGGAGAAAATACGAGAAAATACCAATAAGAATCTTATTCCCATGCAAGAAACCTTTACGTCCTAACTACTACCATCCAGCTGGGATCCCTGTGCTTGACATGACAGTGTGGGTCCTGGTTTCGGTGGTTTCGGTGGTTGTGATGGGTTGTGATTGTTTTTGAAGTAAAAAAATAATATTTTGTTTTGTTTTTAGAACTCTTTACGAAACAGTTTAAACATTCGAACTTTAGGAGTTTTTTTCGCATTATATTAAACACCTTAAGGGTGTTTTTTTTTACCATCAAAGGTCAAATTTCATTGCTTTTTTAAAGAAATCTAATATTCTTTCATTCATTTAATTGTAAAGTTTCCCAAACAAGATGGCTTCTTCTTCTTCTTCATCATTATCGTCTTCACCTCCTGCATGGTCGGCGATTGTATTGACTTGTCAGAATAAAACAAGTGCTGATGCCTTTAAGAAAGGTAACTACATAGACATAGCTAGATGATAGTTTATGATTAGATCTGTCTGGAAAATGGAGGGTCTTCGTGTGGCTGCATTGCCACGCTATTATTCTATCTTGCAACTTTTTTGACTCACAAAAAGGGCTTCTATTTGAAAAATTCCTCATTCTCGTCTCCTGAACGTCAAAGGGCTTACATACTGGTTGGCTTAACTCTGTTAAAGTTTAATAATGATCATTTTAACTTATTGTTTATAATAATTTTTTAAGCTAAAAGATGATTACCGTATTTTACTCGAATAAGCGCTTATTGAATTTTTCACGTCTAAAACGTGGCGCTTAATATTCGGGGAAGGCGCTTATTAATGTTATTTGTCTAAAGGGGGCGCTTATTCGGGGGAGGTACTTATTCGAGGGAGGTGCTTATTCAAGTAAATACGGTATGGTACGATTCTGGAGTAAAGTACGCTTTGATTAAGTGACATTCATTCAAACACTTTCCAAGGCGTGGTAAGCTAAATATGTGTATTGTTTTTGTTTTAGAGCTTGACATTCGCCAGAATGAAGGCTTCATAGACAAGAACACACGTATCTTGGCCATAGAGGATCCTAAGTCTCGAGTGGGCAGTGGAGGAGCCACTTTGAATGCTTTGCTTGTGGTAACTGAGCATCTGTCTGCAGAGGCAGGATTTACTGTAAGTTAGGGGGGCACATACTTTATTAACGAAGAGAGTGGATATAAGTTATGGGAAATATGGAGGGGCAATGTTCTTCCAGAGGATGGGAGAAACCTTCATGATACCAGGAAAACCAGGAAGAAGGGTGTAGCCAGGATTTTCTGAAATGGAGGCCCAAATTTTAAATAATCTGCCATTTTCTTTGCACTCCCAAAACACTGAACAACAAAAATTAAAACCATTTTTTACCAAAACCATAAAGTCATTTTTACAAGGTAGAGTACAAAATATAAAAATTGACATTACATTTTACATTTTATTTTTACAAAAAAATTTGAAATCACCATATAAAACCATAAAATCAAAAAAGCTGCCATTTTGTTGCCTTGAAGGGGGATGGCCCCTCAGACTCCCTGGCTACGCTCTTGATAGAAGAGGGATAGACACTCTTAAAAAATGGTGTGAAAAACATTCCAATTAATGGCTGAGAGTAACCTATATAAACTTTTATTACAGTACGATAGGAGATGATGGGGGAAAGTAGGTGGGAGAGAAAAGAATGTAGAATGCAGATGTTTCTTGAGTGCCACTAATATTTTTACATTATTTATTTATTCTTTCCAGTAAACAAAAATGTTTTGCTTGCACATAAATATTGTATAATTCGTAACATTTTCATGTACTTGTACTTTGTAGACCATGGATGCAAGTGTTATTTCCAAAAGCAGAATTCTAATCATGCTCATGGTATGTATAGTTTTATAAAATTTATAAAATGTGTATTTTATAGGTACAACAATCTCAATATAATAGTCCTTTTTGAGCACTTTTCACACAGAAGCTCAATTGGAGAACGATGCAATAAATTCCTGCAATTCTAAGGTTCTATTCTAGTAAGGTTCTGCTGTTTTGTTCTCCAAATTGAGCTGCCTTGGCAATCTACTGCAATGGGTTTATAAAAAATCAAGCAAACTTAACAAACCTTTCCTGACTTTTACTGCGATTCCCAGTCACACGCAACCAACTAGACCTTCATCACAAACCAAAAATTGAATGTGGGTGGATGTCAATCAAAAGGGTTTCTTTCGTTTCTATTGGTTTCTACACCAGGACTGATGTGAATACTCACGTGAACACGTGCAAATGTGCAAAAGTCGTTGTCCTTATCTCATGCTTCTTGTCGCTGTGAATTTCTCACTCTGGATATATTTTCTCTAAAATGTCACAGGATTCCGGCTCCGAATCTTAACGCTTGATTGCAAAGCTATCGCTATGGCAATGATTTGAGTTTCTTCAAGATAGGATAAGTCAATACTGATAGTTTGCAGTTAAACGTTTGAAATTCGGAGTCAGAATCCTTAGACATGTTTAAGAAACCCTTTTGATTGACGTCCACCAAAACTCAAGTTTTCGTTTGTGATTTTGGTCTCACTTGGTTGCGTGTGACTGGGAATCGCAGTAAGTGACTGCAAAATGATGGCTGCAAGTTGAAGTTGGACTTGATGAAATACAGTAAATTAAGTAATGTACAATACTTCAAGTCCAGCCTTTTGACTTGGAGCTATTGATGGCTCAAGTGAATGTGGGAATTTATTCATATGCAGCATCCAAAGTGATCAAATGTTAAGACCGAAAGCTGTGAAAGGCAAACATTTTGTCCCTATGCCATAGACCCATATAACATGACCTCAAAAATGATGGGGAAAATTAGAGAGAAAACATTTAATCAGGGTTCGACCTGGCATTTGTATTATTATCCTTGTTCTTCTCTTCAGGGTCGAGACTATCCATTCAGTCCTTATGGAAGGGCCTTTACCACACTGCCTGCAAAACACAGCAACAGCCATTCAGTATCATTGGCCGATTCTTTGGTTACCAACTTCGACTGCCTTCTCCATTACCTGACAAATAATGTAAGTCAAGCAGATTATTTTCTGTCTTGACTTCTGCTCCTAGATTTGACAATGTCATTTTCTCCACTACGCATCACGAATGCTTATCCAAACAGTCACTTCTCTCATCTTCTGTCAACCCCATGTGCTTTATAACTGCACCCAAAACTTGTAGGAATTTTCTATTTCTAAATTTTTTTAAATTTAAATTTAAATCTTTTTACAATAAGTTTTTATTTTTAATTATTTCCAGATCTGCCGTGATTCCCCTCATGGTGTATGGGTCTCTAGCACAGATATGATGTTGTCTGTGCCGTCCAATACAGGTATAACAGGTTTCTTGCACCATTCTATTTCATTTTGCTATGAATGGGGCTGCTCCTAACACTTCACTTGTGTTCTGCCAATTCCATTTTATTATATTTCCAATTGTAATATTTTCACACATCATTTTACACATATATTCTCTATTTTTCAATAGTGAAGGGTATTATATTCTGTCAATGCTATATTTTATTCATCAGAAATCAACTGGGCCAGTATCTCAGAAGATATTGTTCTACTGCTGTATGAAAGCGAGATCGATTATGCTAAGCTCCATGGGACGTGCAAACTAGATGACAAGGTAATAGGCAATAATGATATGACTGGAAAAAACTAAGTTTGTCTCTAATGACCAAGGCAAAGTATTGGCACACAGCTCAACAGAATCAAACCTGAGTGTGCAAACTAGATTACAAGGTAATAGGCACTAATGATATGGCTGGAAAAACTGAGTTTATCTCTAATGACCACAGCAAAGTATTGGCACACAGCTCAACAGAATCGCACTGAAAGCATGTGAAGGCACCCCCTGTCAGCTGCTAATGTATATAGTCTAAGGATGACCCAGGACACAGCTCTAACCAATTTGAATTAGTTAGGGTTGATTTGAGAAGATGGAGGAAAAACTAATAAGCCAGAAAGAAAAATAATTCAGCTGTCATGGAGCAACTGGGAATTGAAGCCAATGCACTGATGTTTGGAAGGGTTAAAGGGTCCACGATTGACTGCCCATGAAAAATTACGTTGTAGTGAATGAGCTATCAGGATTACATTTATCTTTATTCTTTATTCATTTGGTCAAAAGGGAATTGTTAAGAACATGATCTACAAAGGAAGTGAGGAGGAACTCAAAGATTTTGCTTTACCAAATGGGCATGACAAATTAAAAGTGCCTATAGTAAGTAGTCACTACATACTTTTGAGTTACTAATTGATTCTTAAAAGAGATAACTAGCTAAAAACTAGCGTGAGCTGTGATTCTTATTAGTCTTTACACAAACCTTCAAAATGCCCCAAAAGTTAGGGCATGGCCACAGATCAAATTATAATTGAGTGTGTTTGTTTGTTTTTTGTTTTTTTTTGAGGAAGGAAAACCCGGAGAACCCAGAGAAAATCCTTGCAATCAAGGAAAARGAAACCCGTGTTAATTGGCAGCTTAAATTTTGAGTCTTGCTAATAATAGCCAAGTTATCAAAGTTTAATTGAGGTCAATACATCTTATAATTTTTACTTTTTTGCTTCTTCAGGTTGGTAGTACAGTGTTTTTCAGTGAAAAAGCAGTAGCTAAACTTTTAACACTGCACTCCTATCCACCACTAGATGCTTGTACTTATTACGGTCTGGATAACGGTGCCAAACCGATACAGGTGGGTTTTTGAGAGTACTTGGCTATTAACTAGTACTGGTTGAATGACCAAATTAAAAACTGATGTCCCATTCTACCACCTTTCTAAAGGGAATTAATGGTAAACCAATGAGTGAATAAGAAGGAAACTAAAACACTGTTTGAAATGCTGTTTAAGTATTCAACACACCCATACAGTACAAAGTAGTGTTCACTGGTCATTATTGGTAAACTAATGAGTTAATCATTTGAATTGTTTGCTAAAAGGAACAGGTTGATAAGCTTTATTAGATATACGTGTCAAATGTATGAATGGATGAATAAGGGAAGGAAGGAAGGAAGGAAGGAAGGAAGGAAGGAAGGAAGGAAGGAAGGAAGGAAGGAAGGAAGGAAGGAAGGAAGGAAGGAAGGAAGGAAGGAAGGAAGGAAGGAAGGAAGGAAAAAAGAAATAAAGGAATGAATAAGCAAACAAATAAACAAATTAGTGAATGAAGGAAGTATGATTTCATTATATTTCTAATTTGTGCATCAATTTCCCCCCAGTATCAATTACTTGATTACAATGTTCTTTCCCCCACAGATTGGCCTGTTCTTTCATATTCTCCTGACCATGGCAACTGACATCTCAGAAAAGGATTTTGTGCATGGTAAACCCAGTGGTGCTTATGGTAGAAGCACAAGAACAGGTGTAAAGAAAATGACTGATGAGGAAATGGAGCTAATGACTGGGGCAAGGAAGACACTGTGGACACACCTTAGAGGAATGAAGGTGCAGGGAGGTGAGAACCCTGCAGACAGACAGACAGACAGACAGACAGACAGACAGACAGACAGACAGACCCCAAGTCATAAGAAGACTTAATGTACAACCTCAATAGAGGCTTTGCACCACCACGTGACATCAGCCATGTTTTAAATAAGAACATCAGCCGTTTTAAATAAGAAAGAATTCAATTCCTGAGAGCAAAGGGTTTTTATTGTTCTGTCATCTAACCACAGGCAGTCCAAGCTGTATTATATGGTGCAAAACCTCTATAGGCATCTAGTCGGGCAGACTTGTTTTATCTGTCATGAATAACATTAACAATGGTATCAATGGTTTTCTTGTTAGTGGTGATGAAGGATTGTAAATTCAAGTACATGACTCCAACTGGGCTTTGCTATCAAATACTTGTGTCCAAACCTCTCAAAAAGTTCAAGAAGAATAACCTTCCGTACCAAACAGAACATCAGATGCATGTTGCTACTGAGGTATCGACTACGTACACTCTTTTTCCCCTTTTCACTCACATCCAAAAATTCTATCTTATAAAGTTCTTGTTTTTTCTTTTCGATGACATTTTATTTTAAGTTTAATTAGAAGACATCTTTCTCTCTTCCCCCTATTTTCTTTATTTTCTCCATTTTCAACTCTTCATTGTCCCTTAACTGCCCTTCCTTTTTCAATTTTTTATTTTCATTCAGTTTTCCCATTTTTTATAATTTCCCACTTCCTATTTCCCATTTCCTATTTCCCATATCTGTTTTAACTTACATTCTTTTAATCTTGCCAAATCTGACCCCTTATCCATTCACAATTCTCATTTTTTTAGTTTATTTCCAAATTTTTCATCTTTTTCATATAACATTTTTTAACATTTTCCATCCCTGTCCTATTATCTAAAACCTAGGACCTAAAAGGCCCAACATTCTCCTTTTAACTTTATTTTGACTCTTGCTTCTAGGGAGAAGGTCAAAGTATCCACGAAGAAGCCATTGTGATGAATTCAGTTATCAAGGGTCCAATAACAGTTGGGGAAAATTCAGTCATATCTCATTGTTACTTACAGGTGTGTATGATACACACAAACACGCAGCAAGCAGTCGCAAAATTGATGTTGGTTTTGAAATGATATGAGGTTTTGAAAGGTTGTGGGTGAGATGTTGGTAGGTTGCAGGTGGGTGTTGGTAGGTTGCAGGTGGGTGTTGGTAGGTTGCAGGTGGGTGTTGGTAGGTTGCAGGTGGGTGTTGGTAGGTTGCAGGTGGGTGTTGGGGGTATGGATAAGGTTTTAGTTTTTTGTGGGTGGGTGTTGGTAGGTTGCAGGTGGGTGTTGG